TGCAGAGCGGAGGCCGGATCCGCCCCGCGAGACGCAGCAGCGTCAGCACCAGGCTGGCTGCTCCCGTGCTGCATTTGGGCACAGCCATCCAGGAACAGGATGAGGCCTGACTCCTGGGCTGTGTTTACTCACAGCAGGACATGTTTCTGCTGGTTTGACCAGCTGATGCTTCTGAACCACCCTGACCCTCGCGCCCTCACCTCACCGGTTATTGTTCTCCACCCGTTGGTTGTTTTTCAGCTGCCTTACCTCACAGCCAGAGGAGTTCAACGCCATCGAGTGAACTAGCAGCCACGCCGCCGGGCAGTCCTCACCACATTCTCGCATGGCAGACTGGGTGAGTGTCTGTGGGACCGGGTTAGAGAATTCACCTCACGCTGCCGGTGAGAAAAACCTCCCCGCACACAAGCGAAGGGAGAGCACAGCTACGGGGAACGTTTTCCAGGTGCTCAATAGCCTACGCCACTTCCAGCCTCCCACCCGTGCTCTTGTAGCGGTGGAGCTCTAGTTTAGGCTGACCAAGACATGGCAGTGCCACCCGCACCCAGCAGCGCTGCTCCAAGCAGTGCCGGATCCACAGGGAAAGAAGCCTTGCAGGTTCTTCCTGCTTGGACAGTCTCCTGCCTCCAATTTTCCATGTGTCGAAATAGCTGATTTTTTTTTACCAGCCATCATGCTGGCTGTCCAGACCAGGGAGATCTTTGTTGTAAAGGCAAGGTTAGGTGCCTACCATATTTGTGTGTGCAGCAACCACATTTTTCTGCTAGGTTTTCCCTAGCCATGTGTCTTAATGACTATTAAGTGCATGTTTTTCAGCTACCACTAACTTAAGGTGCTTCACCAAAGCGTGAGTGAGTCATTACATGCAGGTAGCCATTACTCATGTAAATACAGTAATTGGGTTCTTTGGCACCTCTTTGTGAAGCAGGGAGTTCCAGGAGTAAACAAAAAGCCTTTTGCAAGCTCCTATGGGTATTCTCTAGCAATCTCCTGTAATTCTGTCCTGCCACATGAAATAAAGATAATTTCCAGATCCCGTCTAACTCAGCACGTCCCGGATTTTTGCATCGAAATTGAGTTTGGTGAGATCAGCTAGAAAGTTTCAGACTACAGTCCTCATAATACTGCAGGCCCAAAGTAGGAAAACAGATACGGTCCCCCGAGTTGTGAATCGGGACTAGTAACTTTGCAAACATTTCACTGTGCAGCCACTGGAAAATCTCATGCTCTTTAATTTCTTCTGGTCACCTGTGACCAAATTTGACCCCTGGTTTTACTCCAGCACTGCTCGTGACTGCACTTTAAAATGGAGATGAGGAGAACCATAACCACAACCCCCTTAGGCCTGCCTTGGATTTTAAATTCACACATTTGACATACAGCCTCACATGGTCTTTGCATGTGCTTCCAGCTTTAGAACAGGAGAATTTTCCTGGTCCCGTTCCACAAAAATTCAAGGGATCGCAAGACAGGCAAAATGGCAGCTTTCTTTACTGTACACTGAAATTTCCACTATTAAGGGTTTGAGTCTAGACTCACATCTTAGTCTCAGTCTCCATCCCAATCCTAATTCATCTAAATATCTCCATGATGATCAGAAGTAAAACTGGTGAGCAGCCAACTGAGAAATCTGTTTGGAAAATCCCAACTTTTATTATTTTTCCATGCAAGAAAACTCCTGCACCCTTTCTCTCATAGCAAAAATGCATCAAGCCAAATTCTCAGCTGGTGGAAGTGAAGTTATCCAGATTTATAGCTTAGGCCCCGCACCAACAACCAGTGCAAAAAGAACTGGAGACAAACCAGCACTTATTTCATGCCTGAGCATAACACCGAGGCGTACGTATAAATACAGCAGGAGCGGATAAAGTTTGCCATGAGATGCACGACACAAATTCCCCCACTGCAGGGGCAGGCTGCGCCCTCCCAGCACGACTCAAAAGATTGACAGTTCTCCCCAACGTGTTTTTGTGTCACTAACTTTTTCTAAAGATGATTCATCAACTTGTTTCCCCACTGGATTAATAAGCTCGTAACAATGTCTGTGTCACTTCTTTTCTTTAACATTTCCTCTCTCCTCTTTCCTCCTTTTTTTGCTCTCCTTTGTTCAGAGAAGCAACAGACAACTCACCCACTATGGATGAGTCTCAGTCTCCAACCCACCAAAGTACTGATGAATAGAGGTATAGTAAGGGCACCTTTTGTTCTTTCATCCTTCTGCCTTACAGTCCCTGAACACAGTGCGAATAACCGGCATCCCGCTGTCCCGGAGGAGCAGCCCTTTTAATTGTGTGCCTGTTCGTTTGGCAACAAGGCTTCCCTCAGCTCTTGGAAGAACAGCTTGAAAGCATCTCCAAGCCCTCTCTGTGCCTTTTCAGCCAGTTTGCGGGTGCGGTGCGTTCCCCTGTGAAAGAGGACGTGAATGCAGCCCGCTCTGCGTTCATGCGGAGGTTGAACGGGCACAGAGAGCAGGCGGCAGCCACAAATTGGTGGCTGGGGACATTTCAGAGCAGCGTGGGCAAAGTGCTGCGGGCAGAGCCGGGGAGCAGCGTGGCGGGGGGGACGAGCTCGGGTCAGCGGGGGCCGCAGGGGAGCTGGACTGAGCTCCCAGCAGCGCTCCAGCCCTGGCACCGAGCATCCCTTCCTCCTCCTTCCCTACCGCAGAGCAGAGCTGTGAAGCAGAGGCTGGTGGCAGCAGCCAGGTTTCATGGAAGGAGGAGCTACCCTGGCCCCGTTCCTGTGGGAAGGCAGAGGGGGAAGGGTGGAGGGAACAAAAAACCCGTGGAGTATTTCTATTTTAATTAAACTGCCGTTGCTGTCTGACACTCTCATTTGAATCTACAACCGTTCACAGCTGGCATCTGTCAAGTATTTCAAGCCCAGCTTTCTAGAGATAACCCATAAACCTCCGTATTCCAGCACAGAGCTGGGAAACAAAAGGCTCTTTAACACGCAGACGGTGATGCCCTTGCTCAGGTTCCTCCCAGACACTGGTCCCAGGACAGAGGAAGCAGGAACTGCCGGCCTGCATCCCATGTGGATCAGTCCTGCCCAGCGGGGAGGGAGCTGAGGAAGGAGTGGGAATCCCAGAGCAAACAGAGAAAATGCACCTCCCACTTTTGGCCCCAAACCAATCTCTAGTTTGGAAGTTGGTTAAAAGGGAGAGACATCAATTCTAAATATTACTACGCAGATACAGCGGTCACTTTTCAAAATGCCAACAAGATTTTGACCTCAGTGTTTTCCTGTGGCAAGGAGCTCCGCAAGCTAGGCCAGGAGCCAACCCTGATCGGAGCTTTAAGATAAATAGCAAAGAAAATTCCCATAAATTCTCTCGTCTGCTCTGTGCAAGCAAACAAAAAGCCATGCAGCAAAAGCAGCAACGGCTTGTCAAGGGAGGTGCCACAAGATGAGGACTAGGCTCCCTGTGACAAAACTCGGTCCTTTCCACGTTGGACCTGGCGCCCTCTCACGAGTGGCTTCCTGGCTCATCCCTGGAAAGCCACGTAACGCTGGGATTGCCGGGTGATGCGCGAGCCTCTGCCCAGAGCAGAAGCGCTACGGGAAAGCACCACCACCCTCCTCCTTCCACGCTCCTGCTCGGTACTACAGCCAGGAGGGCCGCTCTGCAGACCTGCTCCCTGGAGAGCACCCTACTAAAAATCCCTTTACCCCAGCTTACTGCCGGGCAGGAAAGCAAGACAGAGCCCTTCAGGCTCTCGCCCTCCAGCAGCCGCTCTGCTCTCTTGTAGCGCAACCGCTTCACAAAGCCCCTGCCGCTGGCCAGCAGCGGGCTGAAAACACAACGGCTCTGCCTGTTGTTGTTCAGGCATCATCCAAAACTCTGGAGAGGCTGCCGGAGCTCGGCTTTCTCCTGCCTCCTGGCACCTGGCGGGTTGCTGGGGAGGACGGGACTGCCAGGCAAGAGCAAACTGGGTGAAGGCAGGGCCCCGCGTGCTGAGCCCACCCCCGATGTCAGCACCTGCAGCGTGCGAATGTGAATATCCTGCATTCCTCCCCACCCGTACGTAATACGATGTTTTATGCCCATGGCTGGACTTCCCAGGAGCCCTCGTTGTCCTAACGAAGTTTCCTTTCTCCTGCAGGAGCTACAACGATAGCTGTTTCCTGGATTCTCCCCTCTATCCAGAATTAGCAGATGTCCAGTGGTATGGGCAGGAAAAAGCCAAGCCTGGGACTCTAGTGTGAACCCCTGACCTCAAGTTAATCACATCAATGCCATTCGGAGATCACCTCACTGCCTCTCATTTGCCTTACCCAGACGCACTGTCACCCAGCACCAGCTTCAACTCTAAGCACTTTTCTCCCAATGCAATTCGAGACGACATTTACAGAACACTGGCCCCGAGGCATCCACCACGACAGCAACAGCGATGGACCGCAGCACATCCCTGTGCCAGACTGGTGCACGTCCCTCCCGCGGCCCCCAGGGCGGCGGGTGCAGATGAGCAGCCATCTTAATAGTCAGCAATTTAAAAATTGATTTTCCTTTGAAAGGATGGAAGCCTTTCAAGGCTTACATCAAACCTTATTGTTCTGCGGCATGTAACGGCAGTAAGATTTCCATGACCTGCGATCTGAAGCCAACAGAGCGTTTGTTTAAAGGGGAGGAGGGGGGGCAAAATGGGACAGAGGCTGAGAAATGGATATCCTAGTTCTGAAAGCGCATCTGTTACGAAACAGTAAAATCCCGTCACTTCAGAGATGTATCAGAGTCTCGCAATCAGATCCGCACTGCCAAAGATCGCCCCACCAACGTCGGCAGGATGAGTTTGCTCAGCAAGTTCTTGTGACAGGAGCATCCCTCTCGCTTAGCTCAGTGGCAGACACGGCCACCTCCCGTAAAACGGCATTTCCTTCTTCGCTTTGAGCCCACCTACGCGCAAGTGAAATCACCCAACGTGCTGAAGACACGCTGGAGGTCTGGGCTGGTATCACGGCATCGCTGTCTACAAGCTACTATGAAACTGGACAAACAAGGTTTACAAAGGCATTATCTGAAGCAGAGGCAAGTACTGCTACTGACGGCATCTCCGTGGCTGGCACAGGCTGCACACCAGTACACAGAGAGGCTGGGGTTGTGCTGGCTTGGTTTGGTTCTTTTTAATGCTCAGATGAAGATAAAAATTGCCAAAAAACCTTTCTACAAACATACAGCCAATAAATGCTAATCTACTTCTGCACGAAGCGTGAACATGAAATCAAAAGGAAAGCACATCGCAATCTGATTGACACGGTAAGGTAAAGCTGCATTAACATATCTGCTCCTCTCATCTTCCCTTCGTTAGCACCAGTGTAGCAAAGGGCTCGTCACCGGCGCAGGGCTGCGTGGGAGAACCGGTCTGTCGGGAAACGGAACGGCTCCGCAGCGGGGTTTAACAACCAGCAGAGTAGGCAAATCTTCCCCTTGCAAGAAGCGACCACAAGAAAGAGAAGCGACTCAATGAGGCGTTGGACGCAAGCGAGAGCTGCCTGCTGATACCAAAAGGAATCGCACGAGCGCGTCACGGAAGGAGCTGCAAGTTTACACGTACTTTTGAGCAATGCTTTATACACGTCAAGCCATGGAACTTTAAAAAGGCCTCAAAGACACTTTTGTAACGAACAAGTGCACAATCTAGGTGGATGTTGAAGCTGGCACGTCTAGCCTTCACTGCGGTGCTATGCTGTTTTTATTGCCACTAGATGGGGGGAGGCACCCGGCCTTCCCCCGTTCGTGCGTGCAAACGATGATTTCCTATGGGAAAGGCATTAAAAAAAACGGCTGGAGGGGGTTACTTTGTGAAAAGCAGAAACTGAAGTTAGCTTTAGTTTAAGGAAAAAAGACAAAAAAAAAAAAAAAAGTGCGAGTGTGTGTGCGTGTGTGTGTTCCAAGAATAACAATAGCGTCTACCAGACAAAGTAGGACGAAACGTTGAAAATTAAACACCGCGACTTGGGGGGCTGCCACACCTTTCGGTATTCAGATTGCTGGAAAACTGCATTCCAGGCTTTAAAAGAGAATGGGTTCTTCGCAATTAGGCTTGGAAAGATGACGGGGTTTCTAAAAATGAACGCAAGCGGCTCAGGTGAATGCCTTTCTGCAGTACACACTAGAAATGTTTGCTCCGGTTCTCCGCGCTTGCCCGCTGCGCTGCTGCCCGCGTCGCCGCTGAGGCGGCCTTGCGGAGAGGAGGACAGCGGCGGGCAGCAACGGCTCTTACTTGTCCGGGGAAACCCACGGCAGAGCCAGGAAGGAAACTTTTCATGTTCACACGTGAAGCGTAAACGAATTATCCCTCTGGAAAAAAAAAAAAAAAAAAAAAAAGCGCATACTTTTTTATAGTGGCGAGGGTTTCAAGCGAGCCTCGTGCTCCCGGAGCTCCGCAAAGCATCGCCGCAGGAACAGCCCCGGTGACGGTGACGGAAGCCTCGTCACCGAGCGCTGGAAGAACGGGCAGCGGTGAGATTGCACCCTTTCTCTGGGCGTGCAAAATGCCGTTCTCCCCATCTCTCTGTGCTGTGGGGTCTTTAGCAGGGGAATTATTTCAAGCTCCTAATTGGATTTTTAGCTGGAGAAGAGATAGTACCAATTAGCGATATTTACTGATAAGATTCAGTAGCTAAAGTGAAAGGATTAAATCGGACCAAATTAAGCAGCAGCAAGTAATTTAGCCCACGGATTTTTAGGGGCTCTGAGCAACTGTCTGTTTTCTTTTTAATTTCCCTGGTAAGTGGTTTTGGGTTGGGTTTTTTGTTGTTGGTTTTTTGTTTGTTTTTTTTTTTTTTCTCTCTCTCTGTGTACCTTCTATTAATTAAAAAGAATTCAACAACAGCGGCACTATGAGGCCTCTGGGCACGACAGGAAGAAACATTAATTCCTCCAAGACCAGATCTGCAGTTTTGCAGCAAAGGTTAAAAGGTGGCAGCCCTGAAATTAGGGGAAAATAAAAATAAAAACGGTTAGCCTGCATTGCAAACAGGCTCGAGTAGAGAAAAAGCTTTCTAGAAACGGATTGAGTCTTGCTTTGTGTTCTGCTTTTCTGTTTTGCAATCAAGGCACACGTGAGCAGCCAGTCTGGTAGTAAAGACAGATTAAGTAAAACAGGTTTTACTGTTTAGCTCAATTCAATTAAACACAAATGTACATAAAATGTTAATCATATGAGATTAACATATTTAAGTATAACACGGAGGGGTATATACATAGCTATTATATACGAGCACTTGACTACCAACTTAACCCCTCCTTTACTTTTTTATTTTTCAAGGCTCCATCTGACATAAAGCCACGATCGCGTTCTTAGTCTACGTCCGACGCTCCCTCCGTTCAGCCGGGAGCCGGGGCCCGGTCGCCGCGCCGGGCCGCGCGGGGAGGCAGGGTTTATTTTTAAACGATATTATATGCAGTCGAGTGTTGAAAATGTTGAACCAGTCCAATTTGTTTTCACTCTGTATTAGTTTTAGTTTCAGGCATAGCCGATCCCCATTCAGGTGCTATCAGATGACCAGTTACTGCTTAGTTAACTAGATGTAAAGTTTTACATATATATTAATGTCAATAGTTTTATTACAAGTTGTGTAAAATGGACTCTCTAGTTTAAAAAAAAGAAAAAAAAAAAAGGAAGAAAAAAATTAGGTCTCTCCTAAAATTGACTTTAGAGCATGGAAAATGATTTTACTGGATTCTGTTCAACTGTAATCAAGGAAAAATATGTATGTTGTAGAAAAAGTTGCAGAATTAAAAAAGATCTGCTTTTAATTTATTCTTTTTGTATTAAGAATTTGTATAGTTACCTTTACATTTTGCAAAACGGTGTTGTCAACACTTCCTTATTAAAGCATTTTCAAATTGAGACCTTGCAGTCGTCTTTTCGGGAGGGCACAGCGCCCCGGGAACCCCGACCGACCGCACCGCCACCTCTGCAAAACGCTCACTCCAGATGTGCGCACAGCTGGCCGGGGCTCCCGGGAGGCACCCGCGCGCTCGCTGTCAGCGGGCCTGATGGCAGGAGACGCTGGGCATTGCCCCGAAAAGCCTGTCCGTCGGAGATCCCTTGGGATTCAGGAGATCCCTCGGGATTCAGCTGATCCCTGCGCGCTCCCTCGGGGGCTCAGGAGGGGTCGCGGGCAGTACGAAACCACGCAACCGATTTCCCACCGCAGCAGGAAACAAAGTCACAAAAACCATAGTTACTTCTAACGTACGTAACTTGAAATAACTCCAGTTAACGCTCGCTCACACAAATCAGATGCTAAGGAGCTGTTGGCAGCAATGCCAAGGGCCGTAGGGCAGGCCTGAGCGCCGGCGCGCTCACCCCTTGCGCTCCGAGGAACCGCCTGCTCGCTGCCTTAAATTCCTGAAGGAATTTAATTAACCAGGTTCATTCCCTGGTTCAGCCTCCACTGCTGAGGCAGCAGCATGGAGAACCCACCCTGACTCTGCTGCTCTGCTCCACCTGGGACCTGCCCGCGCCCCTCGGCGCCCGGCACGGTTGCTTCCCGTTCTTTCCGTTATTCCCACTCTCCAGGGAGCTCCTTTCCACCCAAGCACCTCCGGCGTCACCCACCCGATCCGCCCCCACGCCGCGGGAAGCCACCGGTGGCACCGACCTGGAGCCAGGAGGCCACCGCGAGCCTCCCCCAGCATCGCCGCACAGGGGACAATCACAGCAGCACAGAGTCGTTAAGGTTGGAAAAGACCCTTAAGACCATCGAGTCCAACCGTTGCCCTAACTGCCTGGTCCACCCCTGAACCATGGCCCTAAGCACCGCACCCACACGTTTTCTGAACACTTCCAGGGACTGTGACTGTACCACTTCCCTGGGCAGCCTGTGCCAGTGCCTGACCACTCTCTCCGTGAAGAAGTTTTTCCTAATATCCAACCTAAACCTCCCCTGGTGCAGCTTGAGGCCGTTTCCTCTTGTCCTATCCCTTGTTACTTGGGAGAAGAGACTGACCCCCACCTCACTACAGCCTCCTTTCAGGTAGCTGTAGAGAGCAATAAGGTCTCCCCTCAGCCTCCTCTTCTCCAGACTAAACAACCCCAGCTCCCTCAGCCGCTCCTCATAAGACTTGTACTCCAGACCCTTCACCAGCTTC